GTAATATACACTCTAACAAGGTTTACTTTAGTCTACACTGTAATATACACTCTAACAAGGTTTTAGTCTACACTGTAATATACACTCTAACAAGGTTTTAGTCTACACTGTAATATACACTCTAACAAGGTTTTACTTTTGCATAAAACTCATGACAAAGTCGCATAAAAACATTTCATACTCTGTATAACACAAGCGTGAGCTTTTAAAGATAAGTTAACTTTAGGGGGTTATAAACATGTAAAGCTACGACTGTCTGCTGCAGTCTGGATGTTTTTAAATAAAATGKAGAGAAATTGAACATAAAATAAGGAGTTTTATCTCAGATGCATGGAGGGGTTTATTGTATTTCCAACCTTCTAGAGTCAAACCTTCAGTGAACAAACAATGTCAGCTAAATGAAATACTTCAGTTCTCAGTCCTGGGCTGATAACTGATTTTAATGTTGACCAGGTAGGGTGGATGGTTTAATGTCTGCACAGAACTGTATTTAAACCTTCTTAAACTGTATTTAAAGCTGAATATCTTGCTGCTGTAGTTTTTATGAAATCCTGTTCTGTCTCACAGGTATGCCTCTAAGTCTGGACTGCAAGGCTTTTTTTGGCTACAGTGGAGAAAACCGCAGGCCCATCATCTACTGGATGAAAGGAGAGAAGTTTGTAGAAGAACTGGCTGGACACATTAAAGAGAGCGAAGTCAGGTGAGTACTCAGGGTGTTCATGCATAACTGTTTTAATATTTATACATTATTCCTCTGTTTCTGTTGTGAGCTCAGATTTAAAACTCCCCCTGCAGGTTTGGAAAAACACATAAAAATACATTTAAATATGTATCATCAATATTGTGTTTGTTAGCTGCACATTGTAAAAAAAAAGACCAAATGTGTGAAAAACTTTTTTCCCCACAGACTACAATGGGATCTTTGCAAAACAAGAAAATCCATCTGTCTTTGAAGCTCAGCTGAACTTCAACAGCAGAAACAACAGTCCAAGTTTAAACGTGTCACAAATTGTTGGACTGGAGATTTCACTGCAAAATGTTCAACTTAATGCAGTATTTCACTGAGCTGTGACTGCTGGAGACTCAGAAATTTGAGAAAATACTCAAAATTAAGAGTGGGGAGCATTATGGAATGTACTTTATTAACTCATAATATAATCCTAAACAACAATCAAGTTACTATCTTCAGTTTAGTGTTGGACGGGTACGATCCAGATTTTATATCCCAGTGTTTTCAACAGTAATACTGATATCGTGGTATCTGATGGTATTTTTCTTTTCATCACTCCTCAGATGAMAAAGTACAAACACTGCTTATTGATCAGCAAACTGTGGTCAGTGAAAGTTACTATCAGTGTGTGAATGAGTGAATAATCGTGTTTCCATCCAGTTGTAGAGTGAATTTTTATCGAACTTTTCAAAATTCGCAAAAAATTAAATGAATAAAAATTAGAATCTAGACTGTTTCCATCTAGTTTCCCTCTCGACTGTTTGATGCGAATAAACGAGGCTACGCAATGAATGATTACGTCAGATGAGGCTACGCAACGTGTGATTACGTCAGATGAGGCTACGCAATGAATGATTACGTCAGATGAGGCTACGCAACGTGTGATTACGTCAGATGAGGCTACGCAATGAATGATTACGTCAGATGAGGCTACGCAACGTGTGATTACGTCAGATGAGGCTACGCAATGAATGATTACGTCAGATGAGGCTACGCAACGTGTGATTACGTCAGATGAGGCTACGCAATGAATGATTACGTCAGATGAGGCTACGCAACGTGTGATTACGTCAGATGAGGCTACGCAATGAATGATTACGTCAGATGAGGCTACGCAACGTGTGATTACGTCAGATGAGGCTACGCAATGAATGATTACGTCAGATGAGGCTACGCAACGTGTGAT